CATCAGGGGATGAACGCACTGACGGGGTTAAGGCTGCATGACCCCGTCCCTGCACCTCTAAACCTGAGCCTTTGGGTCACCTAACCCTAACAGATGGCCAGGCCGGCTTCCAAGAGGCCCGTAGCTCTGCCTGACTTCCTGGACGCCAGCACCTGGACCAGGACTGTGACCTCCAGACGCTGTGTGGGCAGCCCCTCCACGCCCCGGGCGCCTGGTCTCCCTCCCCACGAGCAGACAGGTGGGCACATGTTTGTGCAGGGTTTTATGGGGCCGCAGCCACACGCTGCCCTCCACCCCTAGAGAGCATTCCCGAGGGCCCCTCTGTCTGGGTGTAGTGCTGGGATCCTGATGTCCAGAATGAGTTCAGCTGGCCTGGCCTCCTCTCTGCCACGTTCAGGGCCGTGAGCTGCCTGCGCTCCGCTGCTCAGCTGGTCTGAGGCAGAGGCGGCCCCAGGAGTGGGAAGGGCGCCTCCAGGTGCTGCCCAGAGCGTAGCCTCCGGGCCTCCTCTCAGGTCCTCCTGGGCTCCACTCAGGTCTCCTAGGCCTCCTCTGGGAAGGACATTTCCTGAGCCATTGTGGAACCCCTGGAGAATAGGCTGATTTGCTCATTTGCCAAGAGAAACCGACTTGGCTGTGGAACCGGGGTCCCCGTGCCTCAGCCTCCCGGGTCTCTGGATCACAGGTGTGCACCACTGCGCAGGCCCTGAAGACGATGCTCTGTGCCGATGACAGAGAACTTCCTGTGCTCTTCTGTTCCTGACACAGTAGGTGCAGACATAGGGCCACTGGTAGGGTTCAAGGATACACCTGGATTGGACAGGTTCCCTGCTGTGCACTGCTGCCTCCTTGACAAAAACAAGTCTTTTTCTTCTCTATTCCATTTCCACCCATAAGCAAAAAGTGACTCAGCTCTCCCGGTTCCAACTTCTTGGGGAGGAAAGAAGCAGATTAGGGTAAGCTTGAGCTGTCTAGCCAGTGGTCAGTGCTTCCTGGGAATACGTGGAGAGTGCCCACAGGGACCAAGGTCATCCCATGTGGACGGGTCTCACGAAGGAGCCTGGGAAGATCAACCCTGTCACAGAGCCACTCTCCTTCCTGGGGGAGGCCAGAGCAGCTTGCTTGCCCCCTCGGCACCCGGCTGTCTGCATCGCAGAGGAGGGACGGTCACCACACGGGCTCTCTTCCTCTATCACGCTCGCCAGTGAGAGCGAGAGTCCAGTAGCGTTTGTGTGACGTTTTTACACTCTGACCATGACATTACTTGCACTATGACAACCTCAGAGCAAGTCAACAGTGTAAAAACCACGTTTCATGTACTTGGCTATGAATTCTCAGTAGTGAGCATGATCACATCCAAAATTCCGTCCCATCCCCCTCACCCATAGCCTGTGAATTCAACTCAGAACCGATTCTGGCGGAAGGTCCACTTTGTTCCTGACCTGAAGCCACTCACAGCTGCTCTGCCTGGGCTCCTATCTGTAACCCACTGTTGTCTAGAACCAGGGATGCAGTGCTGTCCCTGCTGGGCTTCCCCCAGGGCCGCTGGACGGGAGCTGCTGTGGACACTGACTCTGGACCCCCTGCGCCTTTCTGTGGGAACCTTGGCGGCCTCGGACCTGCTTCCTGAGTGCTGTTATTGGTTCTTGGAGCAATTAGTTATCAGGTGCCCGTGGTGTGCTGGGAGCTGGACCGGAACCAGAGACAAAGCTGTGAACAGGCATGATCCTGGCCTCGTGGCTCACAGTTGATGGAGAGATTCGGATGGCTAACAGGGTTTTGTGTCATGGCACAGACACCTTGACAGAGCGTGTACAGGTGCGATTGTGCCGGCCAGAAGGATGTGAGAGGAGATGTGGGGGCAGCACCTGGGAGAAAAACCTGCATAAAGCTGAGGGATGCTGGCTGGAATGAGGGGGGTATTCCCAGCAGAGAAAGGTAGGGGACAGCGGAAGGGCCAGAGAGGCCCAGCTCCCAGAGCACATGACACAGTCAGCACAGCAGGTTGCAAGGCAGGGATGAGAGTCAGGGTAGGAAGACAGATTGGGGACTGGAGAGGTAAGCAGGGGTGTGGAGAGCAGGCCGTGCCTTCCCTGAGAGACTCCATGGTGTGTGGAACAGCAGTCCTCAGGCTGTGCCTGCCCTAGTGACTCCATGGTGTGTAGAA